GAGGTGATTCTGCTGGCACCAGTCCACAAAGTCCTTCGTCAGTCCCTTGTACTCCCGATCGTCTCCCTCTGTAATGAGGCCTACAATCGCAGAGTCATCGGAGAACTTCTGAAGGTGGCAGGTTGGAGTGGTGTGTCTGAAGTCCGAGGTGTAGAGGATGAACAGGAATGGAGCCAGAACAGTCCCCTGCGGTGCTCCAGTGCTGCAGAGAAGCCTGTCCGACTCACAGCTCTGTACCCTCACGTACTGCGGCCGGTTTGTGAGGTAGTCTGTAATCCATGCTGTGAGGTGGTGGTCCACTCCGGCGTTCTGCAGTTTGTCTCCCAGTAAGTTGGGCTGGATGGCGTTGAAGGCACTGGAGAAATCAAAGAACATGATTCTCACAGTGCTCCCAGCCTTCTCCTGGTGTAACAGCACTGAGTAGAGGAGGTAGATGATGGCGTACTCCACGCCGATGCCAGGCTGATAGGCAAACTGCAGCGGGTCCAGTGCCGAGCTCACCAGCGTTATTTTTTTAGAAAGAAAATATGTGTCAGTGATAAGTAAGATTGCTAATGTTGGTCCAAAATGTTCACTCATCATCGGGGGTCTTTTGAGCCGTGCTTTGTCTGGTACCACACCGAGGATAACCCTGCAGGGGTGTAAAGCCCCACTCAAGTTGGCTCCTCGTATCAATGGATCATACAAACCCATCCACTACGGTAAGGTGAGAGCTGAGGGAGGCGTGTGTTTTGTTTTGTTTTCGCAAAAAACAAGGTAAATTGTCCAATACCTCCAGGAATCATATTTAGTGGTTGGTAAATTTAAAAAGCCATTTAGGGAAAAAATTGACAGCTTATTATTCTCTGCCATTTGACAAAGTAAGGTAAAGGTTAAAAAAAACCTCAAATTTGCACATATTAAACAATTTCTCGACAACTATTTTCCAGATATTTTCTTTAAAAAATGTTTCCAAAGTAACAGCAATGCAATTGTAATTTAAAACAAGTTTGTTGTGCAGCATGCATAACCTCACAATACTGATTAGTATCGGTTCCACCAATGTTTCAAAAAATTCCCCCACACCAGCCTCAAAAAAAGTAAATGACACCTCCCCCAAAGTATTTTTCATCATAAAAGGATACAATCTACTGAAGACTTCTCAAGTTAATGAGTTTGCAAAAGTCCCCTTGCAAATCGCCAAGGGACAGAAGCCGAGCGCATGACAAATGTAACAGATGGCGCTAGCTGCCAAGCCATTTCAGACATTAGAAAATATTTTAGTTATAATTGCAAAATCAACTAAAATGCCACTCAGAAGTCTGCAGACCTCGCCAAAGTTGAATTTGTGAATAGATCACTCTTTTTTTTTTTTTAATGTACTGTATGGTCCATACGGTCGTGAGCTGATTTATGTGTTGAGAACAGAGAGGCAGAGCCACTTTTGTTTTTTTTTCTTTCATTAGTAGCAGTGACTCAAATGGCTGAAGATTTCCTGAATTAGAGCCTCACCATAATTATTACTATGTTCATGGACTGTATTGTAGTTTCTTGTAGGTTTTTTTTTTGTGTGTGTTTATGCTAAATCACCGAAAAAAAAACAACACGCCTCAATCAAGACATGCATGTATCAGGTGACAGTGAACTATACACAGAGACAAAATTCTGAAGTGAGTCTAACTTTGACAAAACAACATTAAACAAATAAAATGGTATTCATCCATTCATTTTGAATGCCATTTGACCTTTGTGGGGCTTTTGCTCCTCTTGATCCCAATTGATGAGATATAACCTTCACAATACTGAACTGACTGTTGCCAATTCATTCATTCATTCATTCATTTTCCGATCTGCTTATCCTCACAAGGGTCGCTGTGGGTGCTGGAGCTATCGTCGGGGGACACCCTGAACTGGTTTGCCAGCCAATTACAGGGCACACAGAGATGAACAACCATTCGCGCTCACACTCACACCTAGGGACAATTTAGAGTGTTCAATCAGCCTGCCATGCATGTTTTTGGAATGTGGGGGGGAAACCAGAGCACCCGGAGAAAACCCACGCAGGGCCGGGGAGAACATGCGAACTCCACACAGGGAGGCCAGAGCTGGAATTGAACCCGGTGGGTACCTCTGCACTGTGAGGTCGACGCGCTAAACACTGGACCACTGGGCTGCTCCTGTTGGCAATTGCTTTTCTTATTTCACCCTTTCAGGGACGGTGGTTACTACAGTGGACAGCTTACCAGGTTATCAGGTTACAGGCTGCATGAAAGGGTTAATGATGGACACGGTAGCATATTAGACCATCTCGAATTGTCCGTGCATTGGTGTAACTTAGATTTACACTGGGTACTTTAATTCTCTTTCTATGGTTTGGGCAGAAGTGTGTGTGTGTGTGTGTGTGTGTGTGTGTGTGTGTGTGTGTGTGTGTGTGTGTGTGTGTGTGTGTGTGTGTGTGTGTGTGAATATTAGTAATTGGTGATGTCAAGCTTACATTGACTGGCTCTTATCTGGTCTGTGTTTACACTGCACTCACATTGGAGGACAGCCAATCCATGCCAGATATTTATCCAGATTTTTAGGATGCCTGAATCAAGGCAAAAGGTATCCTACCCTTGTGCATTGTTTTTCTATTTACAGAGTTCACGCATTTTGGAAATTGTTTCGCTTGAACCATGCGGTGTAAAACCAACAGTGGCGGACCCTGAGGGCCAGCAAGGCCTTCTCTGCTGGCCTAAACATTCTCAGAAAAGTTTCTGAGAATAACATAAATTTGTTATTTTATTTTCATAAATATGTTAACAAAATTATTCTCTGTATTCTTTACGTCATATTATTTCCACTTAGTTGAGTGGCTTTCAATGTTATTTTAAATAACATTGAAAGCCACTCGAAAAATAACTTATTTATTATGGTAGAGTTTTTAACCAATCATATTTCAGCTAGCTTGTGTTGCCAGGTAAATTAAACTTGCTCGGGGCCTTCAGATTGAACAGAGCAGGCCCCTGTGCACTGGAAATGAACGGGCA